GAACGTACTAGCGCGAGCCATGCACGAAGCCAAGCAGTCCTCTTCAGAAGAGGAGGTTTTGAAGCAGCTGGTGCAAAAGTACCTCCCTGTCGACTCGAACCCCGCAACAACAACGTACCCTGAGTACTCAGGACCAGCCAACACTGAACTGGACGCCGAGATATGCCACGAAGAGGTTCGGCAGGCGCTTTACGGGCTCAATGGAAGGTCTGCCGCGGGCCCCGACGGCATAACTAATAAGACCCTGCGCAACCTGGACGACCGGTCAATCGACTACCTCACCGAGGTCATCAACGAGGCATGGAAGAGCGGCGAGGTCCCCGACCCGTGGAAGGTCGCACGCACCGTGCTCATTCCTAAGCCGGGGAGGTCACCCAACTTGGACAACATGCGCCCCATTTCGCTCACATCCTGCGTGGGAAAGGTAGCCGAGCATGTGGTCCTCAATAGGTTGACTCGGTACCTGGAAGACAATGGGATCTACCCGTACACTATGATTGGTTTTCGGGCCAAGCTTTCGACGCAAGACGCTATGAAGCTGCTCAAGCACCAAGTCATCGACTGCAACACTCGAGACATGCGGGCCATTCTCGGCCTCGACTTAGAGAAAGCCTTCGACAATGTTACTCACTCTTTCGTGTTGCGGTCGATTGCTGAGCTCGGCCTTGGAGTCAGATTCTACAAATATATCAAATCGTTCTTGACCCGTAGGAGAGCCACCCTCAGTGTGGGAGACCTTGTCTCCGAGGAGATAGAGCTGGGATCGCGCGGCACGCCACAAGGGTCAGTGATATCGCCCACCCTGTTCAATCTTGTCATGATCGGGTTGTCCAAGAGGCTCTCATGTATCGAAGGCAATAACCACACAATTTACGCGGACGATATTACCATTTGGTGCACAGGTGGCAGCGACGGGCAAGTCGAGCGCTCCCTGCAGGAGGCCATAGACACCACGGAAGATTACCTCCGTCCCACAGGCCTGAGGTGTTCCCCAAGCAAGTCCGAGCTCCTCCTTTACCAACCCACTAGGCGAGGGCCCAAGCCCAAACAAAAACTGGCAGCCGATCTCGAAGAGTGATATCAAGCTCTACACCGGAAATGGCAGCGTAATACCCAGAGTCGACTCCATTCGGGTCCTCGGCATGACCATCGAGTCCAATGGTTCCAACGGCAAGACTATACTCAAGCTCGCCGCCAAGACGGATAATGCGGTTCGGCTGGTTCGGCGGGTGGCCAACCGCTACCAAGGCCTCAAGGAAGACAACCTAATCCGCCTGGTCAATGCATTTGTGCTCTGCCACTTTTCATATGTCGCAGCCATGCACAATTGGCAGCGTGCCGAGCGTGACAAGATCAACGTCTTGCTCAGAAAGATTACCAAGCGGGCCCTCGGTATCCCGATCAGGACGCGCACCGAGCGCCTGCTCCAGCTCGGAGTACACAATACGTTGGAGGAGATTGCCGAAGCGCAGGAGCGGGCCCAGCTCGCGCGCCTTTCGAGCTCCCAGACCGGCAGACATATACTCCGAGAGCTCGGTCACTCTCCGGCTGAAGTGGACGAGAAGATGAGACAGGTGCCCCGTGAGATTCGTGACCTCATCACCGTGGCACCGATACCGAGGAATGTCCATCCCGAGCACAATCGTGGTAGGCGACGGGCTAGAGCTGCCACTCTTCTCAAGCAGATTCACAGTGAGGAGCACGGCGTCAGCTTTGTCGACGCGGCAGCGTACCGTGGGAGCCGCGCCTTCTCCGCAGTCGTCGTCGACTCCAAACAACAAATCACCAACTGCGCATCGGTTCACACTGACGATCCGACGATTGCCGAGCAAGTGGCCATCGCCCTGGCCATCCTGGAAGGTGAAAGGGAGGTCATCTATAGTGACTCTAGGTCAGCTATTCGCGCTTTCGAGCGCGGTGTAATCTCCAAAAAAGCCCTGCGCGTGCTCCAAAGTGGTGGCCGCGACGGCATCAAGCACCACGTACTGATTTGGTTTCCTGCACATGTTGGACAGGTCCAAGGCGCTCCCCCCAACCTCAACGAGTCTGCCCACGAGGCCGCGCGCGCACTAACCGACCGCGCGGGTTCCGGGCAACGATTCGGGGCCAACGGGGTTGCGGAAAACAGGGACGCGCCTGCCACGTACAACGAAATAACAAAATATTTTTACCTCGCGCGGAGACTATATCCACTCCCTCATCCAAATCTTAATAGGCCACAGGCCCTTACGCTCAGACTACTGCAAACCGACACGTACCCTAACCTGAGATCCCTTCACGCTATTTATCCTGACGTGTTTCCCAATGACGCTTGCCCCGCATGTGGGGATGTATCCACGCTGGCGCACATGCTCTGGGAGTGCAAGGCAATGTACACTAACCCCAAGACTACATCGGTCAGGTGGGAGGCGGCCCTACGCAGCTCCCTCCTGGCCGACCAACTTTGGGCCGTCCAGCAGGCCCGCGGAGCGGCCGATAGGCTTGGCCTAACGGTCCCGACGTGGGAGTCGCCCGCTGCGCGCTTACGCGCGCCTTGCAGGACCTCAATAAAGTTTCGCAACCAACCAACCAACCGGCGCGAAATGCGACATGCTGCATTTCGCGCCAATGCGCTACCCAGACAACACTGCGTCTCCCTCTTTTCGTGACGGAGGGATGCCGGACGCGCTGAAACGCGCATGCGTCAAAGCAACGTAGCGCGGCGCACGCCTGCGAGTATATGGCAGGACCGGCGCCTGTCGTGGCAACGCCGGCGTGACGCGACGAAATGAACGCCGGCGAGCACGCGCACCGCGTCACGTCGAAATGTATTGGCGCCTTGACTGTGGCATGTAGTCATGTTCTCACATGACACGCATCGCACCAATCACATACCTTTGTCATCCACTGGCGTCACGTAATACCAAATTTGACATACGTGAAGCTATTGAAACGGCCGCGAGCACATCATCAGTGTGGCATGTAGTCATGTTGTTACATAACACGCATGTCGTGATTATCATGTTTGGATGTGTCATTTACCTATGTCGTCCGTTCACGTCACGTAATACCGAGTTTGGTACATGTGAAGCTAGCGAAACGGCCGCGAGCGCATCATGAGCGTAGCATGTAGCCATGTTGTTAGATGACACGCATCTCACGTTTATTATGTTTGCACCAGTATTACACCATCATTCATTCACATCCCGTAATACCAAACGTAGTATAAGTGAAGCTAGCGAAACGGCCGCCAGCGTATCATGGGCGTATCTTATGTAATCATGTTGTTACATGACACGCATCTCATGATTATCAATTTTAATCCAGTCACATACCTTTCACGTACCATAATACCAACTTTGGTATATGTGACGCTACCGAAACGGCCGCGAGCGCATCATGTAGTCATGGTGTTACATGACACGCATGTCATGATTTTCATGTTAAGGTCTGTCGCTTGTGTTCGCCATGCAATCATGCCATACCATACCAGTTTTGCAACATGCCATGTGAACGAAATCACCGCAAGAGCTGCAGGACTATGAAATGTAAATCATGACGTTCATGACATACATGTCATGATTTTCATGTTATGACTAGTCAATAGTCAAATATGTTCTTCATACAGCCATGTTATGCCATACTAAGTGTGGTATCGACATCATTATCGAAACGGCCAGGAGAGCTAAAAGTCGTAGGTGGCTAGATAGATAGATAGATAGATAGATAGATAGATAGATAGATAGATAGATAGATAGATAGATAGATAGATAGATAGATAGATAGATAGATAGATAGATAGATAGATAGATAGATAGATAGATAGATAGATAGACAGACAGACAGACAGACAGACAGACAGACAGACAGACAGACAGACAGACAGACAGACAGACAGATAGATAGATAGATAGATAGATAGATAGATAGATAGATAGATAGATAGATAGATAGATAGATAGATAGACAGACAGACAGACAGACAGACAGACAGACAGACAGACAGACAGACAGACAGACAGACAGACAGACAGACAGACAGACAGATAGATAGATAGATAGATAGATAGATAGATAGATAGATAGATAGATAGATAGATAGATAGATAGATAGATAGATAGATAGATAGATAGATAGATAGATAGATAGATAGATAGATAGATTACGCTCAAAGTCGCCGTAGTTCGCTACGAAATGCTTCGCATTTAAAAACCGGAAGCAGGGAGCGTGCTGGTCGCCGAACTGCGGCCAGTCAGCTGCGACCGAAACAGACAGTTCATTATAGCAGGACATGACGAGCCCAGTACGTCATAAGAACATGAAAGAGGAGCATGCTGGGAATTCTAACCAGAGCGCGAAACACGAGGGGGGAGCTGCGTCGGTGGAGGTTGGTTTGTGGACGCTAAGCGCGAACGATCAATAGAGTACACTGTACTCAGGCTTAGGAGTTCGGACAGTGAATAGCTCCCAACCATCTAATGATGCGTTAAAACATGTTCTTTTTAACACTTCGCAAAGATCGTTAGATACAAAATCAAGATTGTAAAGGGCTTGCTGGAATACCATACACGCACTGCGATTGCTTATGAGCGGCTCACACCTGAGGAAGTAAATGAGTTATTTGGTAGCTCAATTTACAAGCGGGCACTCACGTCACTACAAGATCTAAAATAGTTCAGCGACGGCCTTTTACAAGCGAGTGTACTTTTTATTAAAACATGAAATCTGTGGAAGCTTACAAGTTCATTTTGTAAACCGATAGATGTGGTATTCGACGTTTTCTACCACTTTAGTAAACTATTAGTTGAGTCAAAGATGCAATACCATGGTGACTGGAGATCGGCGACTGGGACCGCAGAAAGTTCGAGCTTCCTCGCATATAAGCCGCACAACGCGGGCGCGTCCACCCGGCCGCCGTTATTTCCAGACGAGCGTCCTGTCAAGCGTTCGCGTTGAGCAATACTATTTTGCCGCGAACAGCCAATGAGGTCGCGTAAGGAAAATTTGATGATGACTTCTTCATTACTGCACCTAAACCTAACGCAATAATGACAGTAGGCAGGACGCAGGCTGCCGGCTCAGCTTCGAACCGTTCCCTGCATCGTCGGCCAGCGTCGGGCGTATGCGACCGGCGCTAGGAACGTCGTCATGGCCCTAGGCAGCTGGAACCGGTGCGGCGGCCGGCCGCCCATCTTCGAGTACTATGTCACCGAGTTCCCACTGCCCGAGGAAGGAAACTTCAGGGCGATATGCAAAGTTTGCAACACCTCCATCAGCGCGTCCCGCCGAGCCACATCGAACCTGATATCGCACATGAAGGCGAGTTCCTTCTCATCGCGTGGCAACGTTCTTTTGCACGATCCGTCGGCGCAGCGCGGACGCACGTCACGCCGTAGTTGAGCGTTGTTGAAAAAGCCCCCGCTTCTATAAATGATGGCATGATGGTCTCCCACCTCCCCAGCGTCTGGCTCGCGCGTCATACATCTGGCAAGCTAGGCGCGAGCCTCGTTGTTTTGTTTCAAGTCCTGACAATCGGCTGTGCCAAACGAGAGCGGGAGTGAGTGGAGCAGTCTGGGATTCGCGAACGTAAACACAGGATGTTCTCGACTCTGTGACGCGGTAGCCGCCGCGGTGGTCTCTAATTAATTGATGTCCCCTTTGTCTCTATGCGTCTCGGATTTTGCATTTTTCGCCTGCCGTCGCCACCAGCCGCTCGCGTCGCAATAGTTGCAAGCCGCGCATCGTTAGCGCATGGAAGTTTCTTTTTGCTCACGTTGTGGGGCAGGACTCCGCTGTGTAGCGAGCGCTTGGAAGCATTGTTTGTTCTTGGTAACAACCGCTGGAAGGCAGGTCTCGATAACCCGCATGTCGAAAGGACTATGCGTATGCCGGTAATGTGTGCGATCTGAAGGTCGACACGTATTTCGGGAGCCGTCGTAGGCGAAGTTGGCGGCGATGAGCACCCTGCAGACGCGCCGCGACATTTGGTGCCCCCCAATCGATAGCATAGTTTTAATTGGTTTTGTCTAATTAACCTTCCTCATGGCGCGGCGCAGCAAATACCGCGTTAATTAGGCAGGGACGTAATTGAATCCGGCGGGGCGCAATTCGTCGATCCCCCGCGCCCCTTTCCTGCTGTAATGAAAGTAATTTCCCCCGCCGGCTCGTTTTATTTAGCTGCCTTTGATTTCGACTCAAGTCGAGCTGTTGAATTAATAAGATTAGAATATTCAACTGTGAGCCATGACATATGTAATCATGTATTGCTGTTGTCTATGTACCCGCACTATATGCGCACTTACGGTCATTAGCGCTATGTAGTACTAGCATTCTTACATTTTTCGCGAGAACAGCACGATTATTAGTTGTAGTAATGGTGACTGATGAAGTTCAATACCTTACATAGACAGCGCGGTCAAACTGTGTGAGTGTGCATTTGAGGAGCTTTTACAATAGCGCATCTGAATACGATTTTTTTTTTTTATGACAGCAACACATGGCGCCAGCACAATTGTTTCAATTTTGATCTGATGTTGCATAGGGTGCCAGGCTGAGGTAGATAACTGAGCACGCTCTCCTGCCTTCCATAAATAACAAACACAGATGCATTAGCCCGAACACGAAAGAAGTTGTGATGATAAAACTTTTTGTGCGCCTACTTCAGCGACAAGTTTCTAATTTCACATATCTGTAGCTTCATGAGTATTGTTTCAATGTATTATCCTAATAGTGGCAGGCTTACAATTTATAGGAATTAAAACTGCAACTTGTAACAGTAGAAAGTTAGGCTGGACGGCTCTTCCATGTACCAAGTGGTGCATTGCAAAATGAAAGAAAAGGCAGGCCGTAAAGCCAAGAACAAGTGCTTACTGTCCTTATCATTTGCTACTGGGAGCTGTAACGAGTCACTCTTCAAATTGAGCAAATGTTCACCACATGCTGTAGCAGGCAGAGCATTGTATGATTCTGAGTGCATTTTTAAAAGGGTACCAACATGAAGCACAAAATCAATTTAGGAAAGAAGGGTAAATTTAAGGGCTCGTTTTCTTTCTCAGAAACAATATTAATGAGGACTGACAGACCGTTATGCCAAGGAAAGTATAGGGGATGTTATTAGAAGTAGTTGTAATGTAATTGTGATGAAAGAAAAGTGGATGAAAAGATAACTTGCTGGGGGCAAGGACCGAACCTACGACCTTCGAATAACGCGTCCGATACTCTACCAATTGAGTTACCAAGGCGGCTATCCAGCCCCATCCACTTTATGGGGTATGTATGTGCATATAAACGTGGGAGTGTCAGTCAATGCCACCTGTTGCCACTGCAGCAAGTATGGGACTCATTTTTTTGCCTGTAGGCGTCACGTAGCACATGATCTTTTTACTAGCTGGCAGCTGACATTATACGTTAGACAGATACATTATTCTTTGAGAACACTATCACATTGATTTTCACCATTATAGTTTGATTATTAGAATATGAGGTGAAGGTCAATGGTGCACTTCTGAATTTCGCTCGGAAACTTCCTGATGTCAGTGTCACCATAGGGTTGTAAAAATTATTTTCTGTTTTTGTATTTTTGTCACAATTGCTTTATAAAATTTTCTGAGACTTGCCATGTTAAGTGTCTGGCTTTCATCAGCCACAATGTAATTTGCAGGTATGTGCAGATATCTCGTAATAGCAGTGCCACTTGTATACCTTTTTATACTATTTTCATATTGGGGAAAGGTTAGCTTGTTATAGTTCATTTCATACATCAGATGCAGTACTGTAAAAGCAAGGTGCTGTAAAAGCAAGGTGTTGTAAAAGCAAGGTGCTAGAAAAGCTATGCAAGGTGTTCAACCAGCAAAATGTGCGAGTTGCCTGTCTCACGCCTTGATTTGGTCATTGTAAATGTGGCTTTTGTGATTGGCTCCTCCGGCTATGCATTACAAGAACTGATTGCAAAGGTGATGATACAAGAACAAAAAGATGCTGACGACCCAAGACAACCTACTGAAAACAGTATAAATAATGGGGTTTGTGTATTTCCAAGGCACAAAGCACCACCATTTATTACTGTCTTAAAGGAATAACAAAAAAAATAATTTCGTACACATATACTGCAAGAAGTCTTGCTAGCTTTCATAGCGTTGACCTGATGTACGAAGTGTAGTATAATGTGAGCAAAATTATTTTCCTCTTTGGTGTCCCTTTTGCAGTTCAGTAATTAATCACAAATTAGCTGAAATTGTATACATATAAATAATGTAATCTTACCTCGTGTTCATGTTAGCATTAGGCAAGCATTTCCTAACTTCACTGTATGTACTGGTATTACTCGTATGTTTTTTTTTTTTTGCACTATTATTTTATTTTCTTGTATTATATTACTACCCAATTCTTTTACAATTTCTAGTTTACCACTCCCCTCTGTAATACCTTCGAGCCTTGAGGGTACAATAAATAAATAAATGCTAGTGCACTAAACCACACCAGCCCAACCCCTCTGCGTGAATAGTACATTGACAAGTTTGTCATTCCTATGCAGCGCAAGCACCCTGGCGTGTACCATGACAATGGCAGCGCTGGCCGAATGATGGAGGTGGCCAGCATGCCCCAGTTGATGGGCAGCAGTGGAAGCAGCCAGCTAGGCTCAGTGCAGCAGTACGTAGACCAGCGGCAGCAGCAGGTGACGGACGCACTGGTCAGCCTGCTGGCAGGCAGCCTGCTTGACCCAGGCATTGTGGACACGCGCGAGTTCCGACGGTTGCTGAGCCTGCTTGACACGAGCTACGAGCCGCCCACGGCATCGCAGCTGGTCTACGGTCTGCTGCCTGGCCGCCGCTGGGGGCTGCAGCAGCGTGCCATGCTACTGCTCGAGACGGCTCAGAGCGTCGCCCTCACACAGGTTTGGAGCCCAGTGTCACTTTTCACTGGTCAATCTGAGCAGGACTTCATGCTTTGCGGCAACGAATCCGTATGGCGGTCTGGAGTGGGCTCGTGCATTTAACTGGTCGCTTCAGAAAAGCTTGTGTCACGCCAGGCTGCTCTCGCTTCTCTGCTGCAAAGTCGCAGATTTGGGCAAAAATAGGATGAGCAGCAGACATCACTTCTGTCATTCCGCCATCTACCATGTTCACACTTTTAAATGGCAACAGTGGTTGCTGTGGAAACATACAAAGAGGTAGCAAGAATAATTTACAGAACCGATTCATATGACATGTTTGTAACTACCTTATGGTGTAATCACATGTGGAGAACTTCCATGTTCCACTGGTAGATTTACCTTGATGCATTCGGAGTGCTCACTACAGGGTTTTGGCGGCCACTCTTAACCTTCCAATGAAATATGCCATAAGATTTTATACATACGTGTCATCGTCATTTGTAGCACTTCAGAAGTCGCTGTAACACCACGCACTTTCAACTGCCTTCGAGCTGTACGGCAGTGGAACTTGAGGTATATTCATCTGGGCACTGTGGTACTTTCACTAGGATTGCTAGAATATAGAGCTCACTTTTGATCCAAGCCAGAGAATATATGTTATCACTGCTTCTGTTGCAAACAAATGAAACATTGCAAACAGATAAAGCATGCAGTCTTGATACAATACCAGTTTCCCTCCTGAGGTCAAGGCGAGACTGCTTCAGAGTGCTCAGAGTTGAGCGTGATGCTATGAAGGAACCAGCTGAACATATCCAGGACCCTCAATTTTCACCAGCCAAGCATGACACACAATGCCAGAGCACTCGGGAATGCTCGGAAACAACCAGTCGAATGCACCATCATTTGTAATTACAACTGCCTAACATGGGCACTTCAGTGTCTTCTAAGCTGAGTGCCAGTTAGAGGGGCCCTGAAACACTTTTCTCAGTAACCATGAAATTAATTCACTGGAAAAGCATATTGTTTCACAAATTGAACGCCACAAAAATTTTAAGAATCCATCCAGTACGAGCAGAGTTACAAAAATTTGTCACACGCTGCAATCATATTTTCTTTTCTCTCGTCCCGACAAAAGCACTGGAAGCTGAGTAGGGAGGGATGGGAGGGGCAAACAAAAAACGTCACTCGCGCCTCCATCGCCTTGAGCATTTTTTTTTTTTCTTCGAATATGCAACTTTTCCGGTGCAATCGCGCGCGCGCGCGCGTGGACAAGTGACGGCCTCTTGCGGCGACCTCTGTAACAACTGAGCGCATCATGTTCAAATCAGCTAATGGCTGATAGATGGGCTTACTGGGCTTCTTTTCCGTGATTTGTTGAGAGAACAGAAACCTATTTTTAGCTGACTTTGATCATTTATAGTGAATTCCAGGCCACGTGCTGCACTGTAGTATTTGGCTTGCATGTTGTCGGGAGCCTCTACTACCGATCGGCAGCGTTTTCTGACCATGTTGCAGGGCCGCTTTAAATGATGTTACGCGTGCATCAGCTGTTTACACAGGTCAACAAAGACATTGAAACTCACTCAGACTCACTCACATAACACATTTTCTCCAAGAGCTCGCTCGAAGTCTGACTCTGACATTCTTTAATACTTAACTGACTCGGACTCAGACTCACTAAAGTTTTTATCATCCAAACACACTGAGACTCAATCTCACCAACATATTGCTCTACCGGACTCACTCAGACTCGCCGTGAGTGAGTCGGATCACGAGTCTGCTAGTATAAAATTAGCTTTTCCTATCATGATGCATATGCTTTTTAATGCCCATATCTTACCTAATTGGTGCTCTACGATACGCCTTTTGATTTTGTAGCTTCAGATACGAGTTATTAGTGGTAGCAATATAATAAGGACGTTTTTATGCAATATTCAACTCATGTGAGATATTGCTATAAAGAATTTCCCATGAAAGAGCTTGGGGGAGAAATATCTTGGCACCCTCCCTTTCCACCAACTCATACCTCTCATCAGTAAACATCTACCATATTTACTCGAGTACTGAACACGCTCGCATAGTGAACCCACCCCCCATCTTGGTCCTCTGAAAAAAAAAATTTTAAGAGACCCACAACCAATATTTATGGCACCCGTTTTCTGAAGTGCAATGGAAAGCTTACCGGTCTGAGTTTGTAATCACGGAATGATAATGCGGAAAATGCTGTAGAACATTTATAATTGGAATTTTTGATTTGCGGCGATTGTGCAGTCTTAAGCTGCAAACAGTGGATGTGATCGCGAAAGCGATTATATGCCAGTGTAACGCCAGCAGTGTTGAAAAGTGAAACCCTAAGTACACACACGTGATGTTGCGTTTGTCAAGCCTGCAGTTCTGCGATCACTACTTTCTAGTGTGCTAAATTATTTTACAGGAGTTCCAGCACTTTCTCGGGGCTGTTTTTTCGACTTAGGCAAAGTCGAGCTAAGCCATGTCTTCAAAAACGAAACGACGTGTTTACATGTGGTCGACACTTCACGCATGGTACTTCACATGCTGCCGTAGTTGGACGGCTTCAAAATGTTATCGCTTGACTACTGGAGCAGGTTAAAGGAATGAATTTTGGCTTGCATGCGTGCGCGGAAATCAGACCCCTATCGAGTAGTGCCGGGGAGAGATGCTTCGACGAACGACAGCGGTAGCAACGAACCACCACCAGCAGCACGCATGAGTGATGCAGTAGAACATTGTTATAACGAAGTGGGATATGATATACTAATGAATATAATGAAGCAATTGTAATTTCCCTTGAAATTCCTATAGATGCCCTTGTATTTAAAACCTTGTTTTAATGAAGCACAAATTTCCCCACAATGGATATAACGGACCACTCCTCGTTCACAATGAGCATTTACTGATCATTTTGGCATACGTCGATTCTCAATATCTTATAGTGCAGGACGGTTTACCTCTCATCACGGCCGCGGTCATTCAAAACTCGCGCCTTGCGCTTCCCAGGAGCTGCTTGCCAACACGCATGTGGGAGCAAGTCTCCCTGCTTCCCTTCTTTTCCGGAACTAATAGACTCGCCCGCGCAGCAACTCACTCGAGCGTGCACATCAGCCAGCTTCCCCTCTGCTGTAGAACTCGTTGACCCGCCCACACATCTGACCTCCTTCTCCCCTTCAACTCCGCGCTGGGGCCTCACGCACCTTCGGGGCAGCGGAAATTGTGGCTTTCTTCTTTGTCATTCGCTGTGGAAGAGCAACACCACCTTTATCAATATATGCCGATAGACACGAGATGGACAATGGCAGGGGCAAACGTAAGCGCAAAAATATGACAATCGAGCAGAAAGCGGCAATGTTGAAAGCCCTTTAGTCTGGCATGAAGGAAAAAAAAGTGGCCGAAAATTTCGGCGATGTGTGGGTGCCGCGGGCGACCAGACCGAGACGTTGTCGGACGCTCTCTTTGACGCTGGCATTGTGCCTGAGTGCAACGCTTTCTGCATGTACGTCGGTGCCGATGCTGACGCGATGACAACCGAAGAGTTGTAAGATGCGGAAATCGTGCCCGTGGTGACGAGCGTGCATGACGACAGTAACATATGTGTCAACACCCCGGAGCCGAATGTTTGCGAGCCCGACGTATCGACGCCTGCGCAAGCGCTGGATGTGACGGATCTGCTGTGCTGCTTCTTTGGTGCTTACGATGACGGCGAGGACGAACTCGAAATAGCTGCTGCAGCTGAAAAAGCAGTCATCCGCGTAAGGAAGAGTCGGAAAAAGTCTATTGAGGACTATATTCCTTCAAAGTGATCTGATGACGGGCCCATGGTGTGTTTTTACGCCGCCCACCCCCCATCTCAAAGGCCAGGCAAAGCACAGCCGCGGCCACTGCGCTGATGGCAGTTTAGGCGCCCGCAGCGTTTGTGCGCCGCCATTTGACGCTGCGTTTTTGTTATCTGGTTTGTCATAGTAAATTTAGTTGGACACCTCCTGCGAAGCGGCGTGTTCAGCCAGTAATGCTAACTACATGGCTGCATGCACTGAAGCATGAGAACCAAGCGGCTAGGCAACAATTCTGCATCGATTTGCCCGTGTTCGTTACAGGGAAAAACAGGAAGAGCTTTGGGCTACAACAAAGATCTGTCACGCATTTTGTGGGCCAAAACAATCAGGCAAAATTTTTACTGCAATCATGCAAATTTTCACAAAATTTTCAAACTCCTGTGACTTTTTTCTCTCGCGTAATGAACCCTCCTCCCACATTCGCGTCAACTTTTTTGAAAAAAAAAAAAAAAAGTGGTTTCATTACGCGAGTAAATACGGTATGTGGCGCATGAGCACTAGTGTGTTAAGATATGTGTGAACAGACTTAAGTACAAATGTAAGCCAATATAAGGCTAATACTAATGCTGATAGGTGAGTAGATAAGATTATAGGTCGGCAATGGGAAGTTGAGCTCTCCCAAACTCACTCAAGAAATGTAGGTTGCACTTGAGGCTCACACCGACTGAAAACTCATGAATATTTTAGCTCAACCGGACTCACTCAGACTTGCAACTCGATCCGAGTCTGAGTGACTTGAATGTAAACATTCGACAGAAGCCTGTCTGGTTGGGTATGAAACTGGAAGATGATTTAGACTCCAACCAAAAGTTTTGAAGAAACCCGACGTTTCGAAACCGACTTCGTTCCTTCCTCAGGGGTTACTGCTGAGCTACGTAGCAGCGGCGTTTTCAAAGCACTCCGGGGGGGGGGGGGGGGGATAATGACCCCCCTCTCTCTCTCTCGGCGTAGTGGTTCTTGAGAAAGAGAAAGGAAGAGAAAAGTGAGCCCCGTTTTTGTCTGCTTCAGTGAGCGACACTGCCACAGGGCCCACAAGGGATGGGGGTGAGGAGGGATATAAAAGTTAGGAGTAAAGGTATAGAAAAGAGGAAGAAGAAGCAACAACAAACTGAGGGGATAGGAGAGACAGGAAAGATGGAAGCACTGTCACTAGAGCCCGAGGACGGGGTACACTTGCGAGAGATGTTGTCGGCGTCTGTAGATGGCGTAGAGCAGGTCCAGTAAGTCAGAGCTTCACTGTCGTCGAAGGTCGGCGGCGGCAGGAGGTGACGTAGGGCGAGCCCAGTCGGCCAGAGCTACGGTGACGCCGAAGGTCGCGCGCGGGCGCACAATCGGTCGGCACGGAATCCAGCGAGCGAGAGCCCTCTCTCTCTCATTTTGCATTGTAGCGCAGTCCATGTGTATACACTGGGGGACGGGTTCTGAGAAAGCGGTTGATGTTATGGGCTGTCCCCTGTATGTGCCGCGACTCGAGTAATAACCTTCTCCTCCAGTTCGGCTCGCTTTCAAGGATGGCCGTCGCTTCAAAATTTATCCCGTGATCCAACGTCTCCGCATGTTCGGCCACTGCGCTGCGCTCTTTGTAGAGCTTCCGCACATCGTTGGCGTGTTGCTTCAGTCGTTCCGGTAGGTTTTCGTCTCCCCGGTATACAAAGAAGGGCACTCGGTGCACGGAAGAAAACACGTGCGCGATGCGAACCCCTTCCTTCTTGAAGATCCGCGCCAACATCTCGCTGGTTTCCTGAACGTATGGAACCGGTACGCGTTTCGGGGGGGCTGCCAATTAAGGTTGATTGAGGTTTTCATATTTTCGTTGATTGGCGTTTTAGTATTTTCGTATTGGGGTTTCTTCAAAACTTTTGGTTGGAGTCTAAATCATCTCCCAGAGTCTGAGTGAGTGTGCGCAAGCCAACTCGTGTGAGCTTGCCGACCGATGGCTGCTTATTGTATATTCAATTATAGTATATTTAACATGCTACTTTTTTACCATCTGTTTTACAAGTGTTAGCCATTATATGAAAATTAAACGAAATGTTCAAGAAAATAGCCATTTTGGTGCAGAGTAGGAGTATTGGAGTACCATCAAGAACATGTATGCTATAGACAACTTTGTGACGTATTATGTTGTGAACATTGAGTAGCAACATCATCTCGTCATCATAACTTTGCCAAGAATGGCAACAAAATTTTTTTTTATTGGTCTGTGCATTTGGTTTAGGCAGTCTAGAGATGGGAAACAAGAAATATGAACTTTTCGCTCTGTTATTTTTTCAAAATTGGGGCAAGAGGGGTGCATTTGATGAAGTTTGGTAGTCTTAATATCAGCTATATGATTCACTGTTCAAAATTTTCTCATGTTGGCACATGCCTACCAATAAGTTGTATGAAAGGCTGTATTGTTCCACACATTGATTCCTATGTTTAGTAACATGGCACTTCAACATATGGTACAAATATAAAGGCAGCGCACTGTCTCGGGAGTTGTAATAGAAGAAACCTCGCAAAATCAGTTCTTCTTGAAATCTGTGCAAATTGTGAAATCTGTGCAAATATGTTTATTTCTGGTTAGCTCAGTAGTGGCAAATCGATACAAGTAATAATTTTATTCAAATGACGTCTCTGTACATTTTCCACAGGATGTTTGGCTCGGATCCACATCCTGCGTGAGTGTGTCAGCACACTTCATCCTCAACTGGCGCCTGCGCACAGTGTTCCTTGCCGGGCGCTACTTTGTAGATGCAGACCCTGCTGAAAGCGTGCAGCAGCTGATGGCTGAAGCACTAGCACAGTACGGACTGGGCGAAAAAGTGGCACATGCTGCCGTGTACACTGCGGCGAGTGTCGTTCGCAGCTTCCAGACGTGCCTTCCCGGCTTCTCAGCATGCGAAGAAGGCGCCGCTCTTCCAGGGTCGGAGGGGGCTCTGCCGGGAGCCAGCGACGGGGACTGGAGACCCTTGCCTGGCAACTTGCTGAGCCTGGACTCTAAAGACCTTGGGCCACTTTTTGTAGATGGTTTGGGCTGCTTTGCAGAAGCATTGCAGACTTGTGTGGCTGATGGCCTGCATGATGACCTTCATCTAGAGGCAGCAGTTAACAAGGTTGGTTTGCTGCAGGCATTGCGTTGTTCATTGTGCACAATGAATGCATTTCTTTATTGATTGCACACTTATTTGGCACACTAGCCATGCATTTTCACGTCAGCCGAGGCCATCTGTGGTCTTTGTAAATACGAGAATGGTAACAGTTTGTCATATCCTCGCAAGGTGCAAATTACTCCATGTGCTGAGCACACTAACACCCTTTATTGTGTTGACTGACTGTAATACTGGTAGCAGCGCGTACGACGACTAAAAGGCCAGTTGCGAGAAAAACAACAGACTAGCATGGACTGTTGCTTACTGGCCGAATTCCTGTGCATCCATGTGTATACAAACTTGTAAATGTAGCTTCTCGTGTTCACTCCATGTAACATTATCTGTACGCATTTCCTGGTTAAGTCCGGCATTGTACTGCTGTTTTGAAGCGTAAGTTCAGCATGTCTCTGTCTTTTTTTATTGGTCGTAGCTTTGATATTGTAGCATATCCGTCAACATAAAATCAGCCACAAAGCTTAATTTGCTTTACTGATGCGCTACTGCACAGCCTGGTAAAGCACACCTTATGTGTGCTCGGGGTTTCTAGACCTAGTCAAGCTACTGGTTGTCGGGTTTTGTCCGGTTTCCCTTCTGAAACCTAGGTATGTAAATAATCATTTTGATTCTGGTAGAAGTCTTTTCGGGAAATTATGCCTGCTGCACAGCGTACGTTCATGGGTTTCACACATTTCCAGGTCAGTGGACTCGTTGAGTTGGCTCGAGGCCTGCCACAAGGAACTTTGGACTCAGTCCGCCAAGCTGTTGAATCCGGCTGCTCCACCTGGCACGGGCAGCTGCGGGTGGTTCGGGCCACTGCTGCATCACCCCTCGAAATGCTGCAGGGCGCTGCACCTGCCCTGGGCTTCACACCCGACGACCTCGAGACCCTCCGGGAGCTCTCCGAGCTAATGGAGCCCTTCGAGGAGGCCTTTCACCTCAGCCGTGGTGAAGGCCGTGTGACGGCAAGTTATGTTGTGCCTTGCATCCGCGGGCTGCGCGCCCACCTCGAAGCAGCCCGACCTTTTCGGCTGGTATCGGCCGCAGGCCGGCTCGTCGCGGCATTGACCACTCACCTAGCTAAGTTCGAAGGGAGCGAGACCTTTGTACTGTGCTCCATGTTAGATCCCCGGTTCAAGCTCCGCTGGTGCGCACAAGAGGGAGAGGAACGGCAGAGGTTAGCAGCACTGCTGAGCACCAAGGTGCAGGAGGCTGATGGAGATCGAGACACAACATCGCCGCCCGAGTGCGATGAGCCCCCATGTGAGCGTCGCCAAAGCAAGTTGTTCCGCTACATGAGCCCGGGGGGAGGGTCCTCCACTGAAGGACCTCAGCACCAAGCTGCTCCGCAGTGCTGGGAGGTGAGCAGCTACCTGGCAACGCCGTGCTTGCCCGAGACCGGGTGCCCCCTTGACTTTTGGCGCCAGCACCAGGGTCAGTACCCAAAGCTGGCTCAGCTGGCCTCTCGGCTGCTGAGCGTGCCAGCCACAGCAGCTCACATTCTCCGCATGTGCCGTGTGGGTGGCAAGGTTGCCAACCCCGCTGACTTCCGGCTTAATGGAGTCACATTTGAAAACCTGATGTTTATCAAATGCAACCAGGGTCTCAGGTAGTCGAACCCATCATTGCTGTTTTTGAGTGCACCATTGCTTGAAACCGGTGTATGCCAAGTATTGGTGTCTGGCATCCATGTTATCGACTGCAGTCCAAGATCCAGTCATTATTTCACAGTCCACTTGGCCTGCTTTCATTTCGGTGCTGAGCCAATGGGAGTGATAGAGCTATGTCAACTGCGTGAGTCCTGTGGTTGGTCTTCATATGCAAGGTAGAGATAAAAGTTGTATATGTTTACAGTGGGAAATGCATTATTTTATACATCGCTTTGATGCACATGTGGGTTGATAGGAGGTGAAGTGCAGTGTTTAGGCCCTTGTCTTTTATTGGGACGTTACACTGATGATTCCGAACATTACAAAGCCATGTTTGCAGTGTGGTTATTGAGCATAAACACAGGACATTACGACAGCCTTGTGTATCAGGTCCTGCTAGCCTTCCTATGTGTCCTTTCAGTGCTAAGATTTTATTTGCCCAACCGTTTCAGCCGACTGCAAATGGCATTCCTAGCAACACTGCACTGTAGCAGCAGTTATATGGCTTGTACAGTGCCTCTTTCTGAATGCACGCCTTTCTCTTTGTGGCCTAGCAGCTGTCGCCTCTCCTTCTTTCCTGTCATGCTAGTCTTGAACAGTGCTCCTCTGCCTTCCTCACTCGCAAGTTGTGCATTGCATGAGCCATGAACTGCTGTCACGACAAGTGTCTTAAGAGAGTAGCTAAGTACCTACTCCACAAGGTAGCAGACCAGCAATTTAGTACAAGCGGCTGCTCACAAAACGGCAATGCACTAAATTCCGCTAGCCTATTCTTTCCAAAAGATAGTTTCCGAGAGGTTCCAATATTGAAAGTACCATACTTCCTGGACTAGTGTCAGCACCTATTGTGCTATGCGCCTGCAGAAGCCAATTTTAACTTGAAAGCAAAAATGCTTTTTAACCCTTTAATGCCTGAATTATGGAACTACTGAAGAAAAATAAAAATTGTTTTCATTTTCCAGCTTTAGATAGCACCCTTAAAATGATTCCACAGTTATCTAAAATGCACCTTAAATGTGTACTTTTATGTATGTCGCAAATTCACCACATGCCACAAAAGCGAGGACCTTGCAATGAAAAATATACTTCAAAACTACGCAACATGTAGTGTGTACCACATCTTGAGAGCGTACACACCAAATAAACAAAATAAACTCTGAAGCGCAGGTTAAAAATACATGATAGAAAACTCCCCTCAAGGTAAAACTGTATTTTGACATCATTTTACTACATTCCTCAGACGTGGTGCTAAAACTATGAAGATAAAACTTGTGTCAGCCAGGCGAAAAAGAACAGAGAAGTGAGCGTGCTTGCACAAGCACACGAGCGTGCTTGCACAGAGAAGTGCTCGCGCTCTCGGCCATCAGCTACAAAACAATTGAGTTTAGCATAAAATACATTACACGAGACAGAGCTAGATTTTTTATGCTGAAAGCTACATTCCCCGGGTGTAATTGACAGCCCGCAATAAAGACGGCACGCATTCCCTGACTTGCTTGCTCGAAGTTTTTGGGTATGTTGCAAATTCGCGACACTAGGCAGTAAGGAGAGCTTTCGACTTCAAATTGTTTCTTCTACCTCATTTGGAACCAGTACACAGTAGGCTAGCAAAAATGAATGTGTCCATCTTTTTTGCTTGGCTGCATATATGTTGGTCGTGAAGCCTCTTAGAACCGCTATCACTGAGGCTCTTAAAGTCAAAAGGCAAGCCTATCAGATTTTTGGGCTCGCCAATCGAGGCATTCAAAAGCAGCCAGCCTAACTTTCTCAGCCAGCATTCAGCTTCAAGTCACCTGTTATAAGTACAAGCTGGTAACGTTGCTTGTGAGCAGCAGCAATTATTGCAGAGCTGATTTTGTCATGCGATTATTATTGGAAAACTTTTCATTGTTTATGCCTGCACAGCCCAGGAAGTATGGTGCTATTTGCCTCGTTTGTAGCATTGCAATAATTAGCTAACATAACTAGCTGTCGCAGCCGCACAAATTGCCATTGTATTTTCTGGGTTGTCACCACCTTCCCCAGTAATGGTTTTCTGATGCCCAACTCGTAGGTTTTAATGTTTACTTGTTGATTCTTCTTGGTGCTTTTCGTTATTGCCATTGCACTACGATTAATGCTTTCTCTCGACAGTCAATTAGAGGGAACAAGTGGGCTTGCAAAGAGAAGAGGAGGAGGCTGATTTTCGTTGAGATTTCTTGGACTTCCAGAGAGGTGGATAGCTCTCCTTCTTCGCATGTGTATTTGGGACCCTGTGAATATTGTGCTGGGATTTTTACTTCGAAGAAAGATGATGACGATGAGACGTGAGTTGGGTGAAAGAGTATCAAGTGCCACAAGCTTTTGCAGTGATGCGAGAAGCACAGCGCTGTTATGAGCTTCCCTATGAAACCGATGCCAAAGGCAACTGATGCAAGAAACCGAATGCATTCATAAGTATATTGCGAGATGTGAAGGTTGCGCCTTTTTATGCATGCCTTTCTTTTTTCCTCCCAAAGTCAGTATTGAAACTACATGTATAAGTGCGCAATGCACCATGTGGCGGCACTCTTGTACATATAGAGACACACGGGGAAAATGAATCTGCTGCCTAAAAACAGCATGTTCGGCTTCAGTCGTACTACAGCCACCAGAAAACTACTTGATATAAGCATGCATTTCAAGTGATTTCAGAGATCAAAGAGAGAGAGGAAGAAAACATTTGTGCAGCTGTTTTGCAAACTTTTCTTGCCAGGAAACATTGACCAAGCTTGATTGACGTCGGACAAAAAAAAAAAACATATCCTGGACCGAGTCTTCGTGCAGCACAGTGTAATGCCTCTGTTGATTGCAATGTACAGTAATATCTCAGTAAACGGAAATCTGTTAAACGGAACTACTGGTTAAACGGAACTATTGCCTTTGCAATGCTTGGTTACGAGCTTGTATTCTGCACCCATGTTCATCGCTCAGTAAATGGAACATATTTTTGCGGTTCCTTCAGGTTCCGTTTACTGTATGTTCATTAACGATTGCGTGCACGCTGGCTGTGAGATTAGCTGTAAGATTGAGTTTTTGAACATGAGGGCTCGGGTTTAATTCGTGGCCACATCAGTCGATGCAAGAACGTCTGAGTATTCAGACCTTATGTTCACGCAAGCAAACTCTTACAAAATGTTGTAATCCGCGATTTCACGTCGTTTGGCGGTGTTTCATGATGTTTGCATGATCTTTCGATCCCAAGTCCCATACCACAACATGCCTCATTATCATATCATGACTTGTGCACAGGATATTTCAGAGTTCATGGTATATTTCTCAAACGCAAATTACACCACTTTGACAGGTTATATGAATATACATTATTATAAAAATGTATTTCTCATCCAAAAATTTTTAAAATTACTTTGTGCCACTTGCTAAGCTAGAACCGCACAATACGAAACACACAAGAAACCCTGAAGTATGGAAGGTACCTTGGTCCCAGAATAACTACAGCTTGCAATCACTAACTAGTAATATTTGAACCATAGTCAACTGGTACAAACACACAACCGCCATAAATAAAAAACATCTGCACGACTACTTTTTATCTTTATAAGATAAAACTCATTACCCTGTATTCTTGTACGAAGTGTCATTGTTACATTTTATGCGTACGTGTGATGTGTGGTGATCTCTGTGTATAATGCTTTCGATGCGAATGCTATGTAAGAACACTTGGTGACATGCGTCACATATGTGCAATGGCCATTTAAGGGACTCCGGGCCTTCGTCAAGCTGTTGTGACAGCTTTTCGCCCAGGTCTCCTCTAGATTGTTTTTCTGGTAAATAAATTGAAATTGGATTGAAATAACAACAGCTGAAACGAGGGATAATATAAATCTGCAAGGCCAGCTGACTCCGCTTGTGAGTTGTCGCCGCTGAGCTGATCAAGATAGTGTATTTTAGTGCTGGTTGGTTTGAAAGCCCTCTGAAATTATTCGCAAAAGGAATGAGCTCTCCGGTGGCTGTTGTGCGGGTGAAGCTGTTAGATGGTATCAAAGATGCATCTCTTACTATTGTCACGTCATTTATCACATCCTGTAAATAGCACACCAGCGTATGCATCGATCACCCCCCCCCCCAGGAAACTCTTTTAATGCACAACTGTGCCGTTTTTAAGATTCATTGATTGAACTCTTTGTTTCGTGTGTTGTGACCCTGGTGGCATGTTGCAAGTTGTCAGTTTTTTTTTTCCCTTTTTTTTCTCTCCTCACTACTATGATAGCACCTTCAAATGTCTCTTGGAGATTTTTGTCTAGATGAGCCGCATCACAGCTGAAAACAAATCTATCTGCAGGGTAGTTGCGGATAACAAACAAAGGAGCTTTGGTTGTAAGAAAATGCTGTATGTTACAGTGTGTGTGCTACATCCTAAATTTCACAGTTTTTCTCTTGATTTGCCAATTTTTCTTATCAACAGCTTGTGTTCTAATTCTGCTGCTTTCTCTATCAAAATATCAATGCTATACATATATGCGTATTTCTCTACTTCACAAAAAGTAAACGTAGATTGTGTAACGCTGCCAAATGGAAATGGTTTGCTTCTTTGTAGTGAAGGAAAACCGGCACGCTTTAAAGGAACAAGTGTTATCACTGCAGTCATGACACTGTGCTCATATATCACTTATGCCTACATTGAGTTTGATATTAATTGCGGATCTAATTTGGAAGTCATAAAACATTAATAGAAGCTAGGCTAATATTTCTATATCACCTAAGTGCGCAATTGGTGTTTAAAAATATAGAATCGTGGGATCGTCCTCACCAAACAGAAAAATCTTAGTACCACACCTAACTCTTCATGACATGATCTCTCGTTCGGAAATTAAGACAAATAAAAGCTCCAAATCGTGAGTATTTGTATTTTTGGTAATGGTTCTAACTGATAGATGCCAGCTGAAGCATTTCCGGTAACCTGGTCTCACAGCTTAAAAAGCCGGCTACAACAAAGCAATGTTTGTGAAGACACAGGACTTGCAGTTTAACTCCACCTCCACCCCCCCCCCCCCCCTTTTTTTATGATTTATTGACCAATATGAAAAGCTTTTTGCACAGCTCAGAATTTGGTCAGAATCGGGTTTGACATTTAAGTACTGCACTAGTTGCACGTAAAAGCGGACAGCATACTATTGACCGAGACTATTGTTTTCATGCACACGCCAAAAAGAAATAAACTTTTCAAGAATTGGGCTAAAATTTCTTTTCAGGCTTAGTGCCTCGTGACTAGCCCTCATTTTCTTTCATTTGTTGGTGCCACCATAACTCTTGTCCACTTGCTCTTAGAAAAGTCTGCCTGTAGTAGTGCCACCTTCATTCTGAAGAGAAAAAACTTTCACTCCCTAGCAAATGGGTGCAGCTTGAAGTACCGGCCCTTTAGTTACGCAAACTAGCTGTATTCATGCTTGAAAAAAATAGTGCGCTGAGGTGCATCGCCTCAGCCACCTGCAGCTGATGGTGACAGAACGAAGGGACCCATGCTTTTGTTTCCTATCACAGCACTTGGCAATAAAAACATAAACAATCAGAGGGGAAGAGAGATACAAAAGACCCTTTGGATCCCCAAGACAGGTGCCATAATTCAGACTGAATGCCTGCGCACACTTGTTTATATTGCGTTCGGTGGTAAAAAGAGCCTAAACTGAGAATCTGTCATTAAAGTCAGGACACTTGGAAATAATGATTGTTCGTTTTCAAAAGATTGTGTCTTTTGTTGTCTTACGCTTGTGATTCTTCAGATTCGGTTTTGTTATTGTTGTTGTTGTTGTTTTTCAACATTTGCCTCTTTTGTAGCTGCAGAGGGAATGTTTTGATATCAAGAGCTTCGACTGTGGGCATTTTCAGAGAGATCAAAAGGCTGTATTAAGCACATACGTTCATTAGAAGATGGGAAATTTGTTATGCCGACATTGCGTCAAGACTTCCTTGGGCATCAATCCTCATTCAGTGCTCTGATTGAAATGTCAGCCTGACGAATTTAAGGAATAGCTGTATTTGTCGCCTGTCATCTTTCGTACCATTTGTAGCAGTTTCTTTAGGCTTGCTGGGGGCGTATTGAAATTCAAATTTTTTTTCTCCCTCTCTCCTTTTGTCAGCTGGATCATTGGGTGCATGTTTTTTCACTTCTGTGGACTACTTGACATGGCTAAATATTTGTCTGAAGCCCCTTTGTCAAGAACAAGAAGAGCAACGAAATAGCTATTGCAGTCATTCCTTAGTGTGAGGGCAAATGTTTCTGTGATGACCGATTTTCAATATCTTACCTAAGTATTCTTGTAACACATCTAGGCATCTACCAAGAGGATGCATGGAAATTTAATTTTTTCGAGTAAAGCATGCTAATCTTCAATTGTAATTTTTAAAAGTTATTTCGGGCTTTTTCTTCATCTTCAATGATCGATATGAGGGCTAATTTAATGTGTACTTATTGATCTAACCATTTGTTAACCTAAGTTTACTTGGCTATGCTGCCTTTCATATGCTGGATGAATTCCCAAAGAAGAAGTAGGTGTTTGGGCAGTATACCAATACGTATTACAGACAAAAGATTTTCAAGAGCATTTTGTTGAGAAGCTTTATGACAGTGGGCTACTAAGTCACCATATGCCAGAAGGTAGCAAGCAGTCTTAATCTGATGCCTTCATTTAACAGTCTGTATGACCACTTTCTGCAAGGTGTTGGTCATGCATGTAAAAAATGGTATCAAAGCTATAGGAAATATCGAAGCCATTAGTCATCGTTATCGTAGTAGTGCTCCACGTGTGAATTTGTGCCACCTTGATATTAGCTGTACTAAGTCCTGCCATGTTGCAGGTTTTCTTGATATAAGTGCAACTTATGTCCAAAATTCTGCCAAACAGAGGGGTACACATGCAACACATTTGTGTTGATTTTTAACGTTCACTATCAGAATATACTTTTTTAACCATTCCACGATGCAAGCTTCAATACAGCTGCAGGTACCAGCAAAGCTTAGCTTCACAGAGACTTCGCCGGAATGGACAAAGTTTTGCGAGGGAAGCAGGGATAAAACGTCATTTTCACAGCACCAGAAAACTTGCGCTTTGTATTCGAGTAGAAAAGCAAACCTGTGTAGTCTACTTCTCAGCTAACATTGCAGCCTACTTTTAAGTGCTTTTGCAATGAATCATTTGGACTTGAAACTAGTGAGATCACTCGTTTCAAGCTGGGCTTGATCAAATCAAAATCGGCAAACACTGTATTTGATTCCTGGAGCTTAGAATTGTCATCCTGATTTTCGTTCATGCCTACACAACGAGTTATACTCAAACCTCGATATAACGAGACATTGGTTATAATGAAGTAAACAAAAAATGTTATTGCACTAGATATAGTGTTAGGAACAACCCTTTATAACAAATTTTTGGATAGAACTGACTTTTCATATAAGGTGCAACTTTGTTATAACGAGGTTTGAGAGTACAACATACAACTGGCTGGCCACTCTCTAGGGGTTACAACAACCTGGCCGTAACAAGTACACCATGTGACTAGAACTCATGATTTGCACATGTGGGAATTGCTTGGATGTGAAGCTGCATTTCCTGTAAAACGCTTTATTACCGCACCACATTTTTGTTTTTATGTGTGCTTGAGGCTCATTGACAATGCGCGATGCTCCCACTTCTTCATGTGTTTGTACTGTTTTCCACTACGTGTGTGTGTGTGTGTCTGCAAGTGTTCAAGGAACACTTGTTTTATTTATTTGCATTGTAAGCCATATATACTCAGCACATGGTGATGACATGTCTGTCGGTGAGCAGCCTGCAACCCTTTTGTTGTGGGCTGCATGCGAATTGTGTGCTGCTGGATAGCGTGTCTATTCTGAGCAGGCATTTGTGATCGAGTCTTTTTGCTTTGCCAGTGCACTTGAGTCTCTTGTACATTTTTTACATATACACATGCAAAAGAAGGTGTGTCATTAGAGTCTGACTCATGACAAATAAAAGACGAAAAGATTTGACCTTGAGCCTTCCTTGTTTCAGGCCTTCTTATCAAACTGTTGCAGTGCACAAAGGCATTTAAGGTAAAGATGCTCTGGACTAAGCTACTGAAACTTAGTTTCAATATTGACAGCATCCATCAGTTCACCTAAAGTTAATTTCATACTGGCCAGTATTTAAAGATTTCTACTGCATTGATATACGAGCTTAACATATAGGTCTCAACATACATGATCAACATACATGATCGTGGTTCAATGGTAAACCCAATTTGCGAGTTTCTACTAGGGTTTCCAACATTCCAGAATTTAGCAGGTTGGTCTTGGCATTCGAGCGAACCTACCAATACCAAACTTGACGTATGAGCTCACTGGGCAGCAGAAGTCATAAAGCTAATCATGAAGATTACTGAAAACATTCCTTCAAAGTGACGATACTTTAAGGCCCTAGCTGCTAGCGATACAAGGCCATAGTTCAGAGGCTAACCTCGTGTGACTAAAGGAAGGTGTTGCGAAAGTCTGGAAAATATACGAAAACAAAAATTGAAGGCAGCTTCGCACTAGCAGTGCGAAGCCTGATGGAACTGTGAAGCTAGGTAGTCTTCCTCTTTATTTCATTTCTCTGTTTTTTCTATCTCTTTTCATCTGTATTTACTCCTGTCTCTTTCGCTGGATCCCTTATTCACTGTCTACATTTCTTATGTCTCTGTATTTCTTCTCTTTCTGAACTCATTCTCTCACCCATCAGAATTATCAGATCTTGCGATGGAAAGTCTACGCACGTGCTCTATGAGAGCGAAACAGAACATCAAGAGGGCAATGAGGGCCTGTGTCAGGTTAACGATGATGATGTTTATTTGCAACTAACGAACCTTCTCCAAGCTTGAACAGCTGCCATGTAAGAACAATTACTGGTGTTAATTAGTGATATTGGATAATGCAGACTAAGTTGACTTTAGTAAGGTTTAGTTGGCCCTTGGAAAAATTCATTAAACCTTATTATAAGAGCCACTTGCATTCCAAAAGCACAGAAGTTCCATAGCTATGGCATAACTGAACACGACAAACCATAAAAGCATCAAATGGTACCAACAAAATAGAGTTAGTGGAGCTTTGGAAGTTAATCAATAGGCGTAAGGTAGCCGATGTCACAAGGTACAACATGGAAAGAAGTGAGCAGGCTGTAAAAAGTGGCAGAAGCCTAAAAGTTGTAAAGGCGAACTTGTGCACAGGCAGAAATTAAATGTATGCATTAAGGGACAAAGAAAGCAATGTCGTAACCAATATGGGAAGGATAGTTGAGGTGGCAGAGGAGTTCTACATAGAGCTGTACAGAAGCCGAAACAACCAGGATGATATCGGAAGAAGCAGTGATGGTGGTAATCCAGCACATTACAGGACAGCTCACTCTGAGTAATGGTATGGGCCTTAACACCCTCCCTCAATATTTGGTTCCTACTCCCCTCCACGCATATGATGCAGAATATTTCTCTTGAACCTAAAGCTGAATTTGACTAACGTGTGTAACACCGCACCTACGTGTGTCCGTACGAACGTGCCCCAACGCGTCCCCCTCGCCGCAGGTGTTGGAGCGGTGCCAAGTAGGTCACGCCGCAGCTGCGCGCTGACGTCACTCTCTCCCTCACACGCAGCTGCCGGATCCTCCGCGCGCTTGCAACGCACTTCTCTCTCACTTCACCCACTCCACTGCCCGCAACGCTCGACCTTACGTCGAGTGGAAACACTCTTACGGATCATTTATCTGCTATGAAACTTACGCAAAGCCAACCCGCCTCCCGTGCCCTTGCGTTTCAAACAAACATTTACTCGAGTAAAGGCTACAGCAAGTTTCGCTTCAGACCGTTGTTCCAGCACCCGCGTCGACGCCCGTTTCAGCCGTGCCAACGCTATGCGCACCGCTGCTGCTTCGCATCCCATGCATGAGGGTTCCCTTCGGGGAGATGGTCCATATATATTTTTTTTACCGACAGTTTCCGGTGGTAAGACTGCGTAGAAGGCTGACGTTGACTTATGCGGATGAGAACGATGCTGGCATTATATGTAACGTGCAGTGGTATATGTCGCAACTAAAACGAACTGCTGGAGGAGCCATCCATATAGCTCTCGCAAATGGACATGTGCGCGCATGCAAGCGTATACTGGCGCATGATAAGCCAGCTGTACGGGAGAGCGGCGAGATTTGGCGACCATCACTCGAAACGAATAATTCACGGCACTTTTGACCACGACGTCTTTAGAATATTCAATTAGATAAAACTTGTATGTCCACAGTTCGAGACCTACATATCTGACACAGCGAACGTACATATACTGCCGACGCAGCTGGGAAGGTTAAATAAATTGTGTCTGTTTACCACGCGCGTTGAAGTGCAATAAACACTGCCCTCTCTATTCTCTTTAAGGCCTTCGACCGACTAGAAGGAACATATCAATGAACTGATTTTTTTTCAAGCTGTGTTATAAAATTACGCACGCAAGAAATGTGTAGACATGTCAGCGTTATCTTTTATATATGTCGAAGACAAGAGAAAAGCACAGTTTCTACACGAGGAATGAAATTTTCTTCGTAGCTGAGCCTCCTGGAGAACAACTACTTAAACGGAAGCTAAAGAAAGACCACAAATAATGTATACTCGGGACTAGGGTGCCTTGATGCCCGCGCGCTCCGCTGAGGGTGAGGACACCCGCGTCGTCTGCTACGACCGCCGCCATTGCGCCTCCCCACCACAACTCGACCGTATGCGAAGCCCGCTACGCAACGCGCGTGTGGTGCCCTGATACGCCCGAAAACATGTGCAAGCTAGCGAGCTTTTCTTCTTATTGAAGCTTGGACATCTTTTAGAGTTAATTTTGCCTGAATGGATGCAGGGAGCGCATATTTCATGTAAGCTGACGGCTTGCGCATGATTTATGCGCCAGAGGCAGACGCTGACTCTTTCATGTTGAAAACAAATCCCTACGCTGGTTACCACAGAGGGGATTCTAAATCTCTATCGGTGGTGTCGTTTATATGCTTTCTTTGTTAGTGTTAATTATTATCTGAGGCTTTTACGTTCTAAAATGACGCCTGATTGCAGGACTGCAGCAATTTTGACAATCAGTTTTTTTTTTTTTGCCTGCACTGACGCAGTACATGGGTGTCCCCTGGTGTTTTACGTTATTCAAATTGAGACCGCCGTGGCCTAGATCGAAAGCGCGAGCCTCGCGTCAGCAACCGAGCACCGTGCCCACGGTGCCACTGAGGCGGACGCCTTTCTTATTGCATTAACTATTTCTCCACGATCTTCTCATCGCACAACTTGACTTGTTTTGTTTTCTTTGTGACATAGCGTGCTCATTCTACGCAGCGGTGCCCCGTCTTGTCTTCATGCATCTTTATTGTATGGACCCTTTGCGAGTACAGTTTGCATAAGCACTTGCGTATGATCCCTGATAGCTCACAGTATTAATAAATAAATTATTTACTTAAATAATAATGCGTGCTGAAAGAGTTTAAATACTGACGGTGAGTGTGTGTGCGTGTGTACACGCCTGCCGTTTCCCCTATTATCATCCAGTGTAGAAATAATTTATTTTTGCGCATTAATGCAGCGCTGCCAGAAGCAATTCAAATTATACGCTCCATGGCAGAATTCACTGAGTACTGTCACTAGTTGCTTCGCAGTGGCCGTAAATGATTAAAAAAACAACATCAACTGCGTAATGGTTCGAGACAGGATGAAAAGAAAACTTGAAGTACAGGAACAATGAAAAAAAAAAATTGAACTGCACACATTCTTACAAGGGTCATCACACCAGCATAGAAGGCGTACCTAAACCGAGGAAAAGATCGTAGAAAGAAAGAACCTGCGTGGCTTTGTAATGGTTCGGGCGCTCGAACGGTCGGTAATCGAATTCCGGCCGCAGTGGCCCCACTTCGATGGAGATGAAATGCCAGAGTTCTTAAACTTAGGTGCAAGTTACATAAAAACCTGTTCAAAATTTCCGAAGTCCTCCAATGTATACCACGTCTCTCGTGATCATATGGTGATTCCGGAACGTACATACTCTCTTCAAACTTCACTGGGTACGACACCACCGCTGCGCAAAGCTTTATTCCCACAAATGAATATTACGAAAAAAAAACAAGGATATCATCTGCAAAGAAACGCGTGTAACGTATATTTAATGATAAAGTTCTCATCGCACATAGTGAAACCAAGAATGAAGGGCAGATACAGTACCAACCAAGAGCAGCAAGCAATGTTTACGAAGTGAAATACGCGATTCATGCACACGAGAATCAAGCATACAGCCGTCAGCGTGTCTGTTGCTTACACGAAATTGGTGCCAGTACAAATTATGCATGCGGAATACCGGCTGGAAACTTACGCTGTGAATGGATGATCTGTTTGTCGGATGCCACTTGTCATGTTTGATTTTCACTGTTGAAGAGGCCTTCATTTCGGGTCTCTTAGGAGACGATACAGCTTCCAGAGTTTCTGCAATGATTAGTGCCCTGCGGCACGCAATACACGCTACGGTGACGGTAGCGAGCGCCAGCACAATTATTCGGGCGCAGCGAACACGCAGAAGTGACTGAGTGGAGTCAAAATGGCGGCCATGCCGCCGCTAAGGCCGAGGAGGCGGCACCTGCCCTTACAAATGCTGACACCACTCTAAGCGGGGGGGGGGGGAGGGGGCGCATCGAGGCACTCTACTCGGGACGTCCGTAGAAAGATACCCGATAGTGCACGTTCGGCTAATGCCCTGTTTGTCCCCGAAACTGCGCGTGCACGGACATTGGGTCGAAGCGTATTTCCACTTGTATATCCTTCGAGTTCCGTTATAGAAAGCGTCATTCTACATCAAAAAAATTTTTTTTGCTTGTTTACGTTTATTTATAAACTCGAAAGCTATCACATGGTGGTTTTGCGCAAGCACATCCTGCTGGTGGGAACGAGTCGCATGTGCGTGCGTATGAATGGCATCGCATCATGCCCAGCTCGTCACCTCGCAATATTTCC